GGGGTTGTGGCTGAGCACTTGTTAGGTATCTGGCTCTGTGGTATCGCATTCATTCTCGGCATTGGGTATGTTGATGGAGCTGGGTGGCAAGTGGGTGGGAGCTAGTGGACATGCTTCAAGGGTAGTGCTACTACATATGCACTATAGTCAAACTTTATATTGGTATCGTCCCAGGTGGAAGAGCTCCTGAGGGCCTGTGAGAAAACTACCGCTCGGTTGGATGGGAGAGTTGATGGTAATTCTTGATGGGCACTGACGGATGTATTTGGAATACGTCTTAGCTGAATCTAGTCACGTCGCAGAAGTTGCCAAGGATATGATAAAGCTTGAGCAAGTGGATATTCAGACCCCTGATGGGGGTCTTGTACTGGTAGGATAGCCTCATGTGGTATTGCGACAGTGTACTTACTATAGGCATCGCAGCTGAGCATCATGGTGAATGCCAATACTGATAAGGGTATGATCATAACTGGCCCCAACGGTTGTGGCAAGAGCGGTGTTCTACGTAATCCCTGGCTCTATGGTTTAGATCCACTACATGAGCACGAACAGGTACTATAGTAGGGCTGTGGTCTCCTGGTGGTGGTACACTACTAACTCCATCGGCTAAGGAACTGCATTACGTTCCAACGAAGCCGTATATGCCAGAAGGAACTCTAGCAGACTTGGTCACTTATCCGCACAGGGTAATCCTGCACGGTTTAATAACGCACAATGGTGAGCCTCCATGATGCTAGCGTCAGGCCGGCGCTGATGAGACAACTCTGTCGAGAGTTGAGGAATGCTTACATCATGTTCATTTGAGCTATCTCGTACCACGCCAGTCTGAAGGGCTACTAACTCTAGATGAGGATTGGGAGAATAAGCTTAGTCTTGGTGAACAGCAGAGAATAGGCATGGCTAGGCTATTGTAATATTGGTTTCTTCCCATCATGGAGCTCCTCTTGATGATGCTGGTATTACTCAGTTTCCGCAGCCCGCCTTGGGCACTGCTGGATGAGTGCACCAGTGCAGTGGCTCTCGATGGGGAGGAGAGCATGTATCGCCATCTTAGAGATGAATTTCACTGTGATGCTCTGAAACACGAAAATCCCATGCCACTGTCGTTGTAGGTACGGTCCTTACAGCATCGCAAAAGCCGTGGTTGCTCAATTTTCACTCGCAGTTATTGGAGCTAGGGACAGGGACTGGATACGCCAGCTGGAGTGTTACTAGGATCAATGATGGGAATGGTCAAACAGATGCCTCTGGGTGCAACTGAGAGGGAGTAGACCATCCTTGAGGAGGAGCCTTTCAGGTTACCTCGAAGGTTACCAGACTTGGTTTATGTAGATAAGCGT